GTCTATCCCAGCTGACTCAAGGTGAAGGCATGTGACACCCTGGACAGGTCGCCAGTCTATCACAGGGCTACACTTAGAGACAGACAACCAAGCACACTCACATTCACACCTACGGACAATTTAGAATCACCAATTAACCTCAGCATGTTTCTGGACCTTGTGGGAGGAAGCCGGAGAACCCGGAGAGAACCCACGCTGCACGGGGAGAACATGCAAACTCCACACAGAAAGATCCCAGGTGTCCTCACCAGCGACCTTCTAGCTGCAGGGCAACGGTGCTAACCACTGAGCCACCTAACCAGTTTATTCAGCTCTTAATTACCAGTCTTAAGCTGCAGTAATTGAAAGTTACTAACAGTTGATTTCTCTAATGAAAATGTTACTCAGCTGTGGTTCATCAGAGCATCATCTTGGCTTTTGTCTTGCTCTCTAAATGCTTCTATCTGTTTATACTGGAGCTGCCACTAACTATTTTTCTATTGATTAATCTATCCTCAACAATTAATTTCTCTAACTGACCATTCATTTAAAGTGCATTTTATTCTGCCAAACTGTATTTCATGGCACAAAACAAAACAAAACTGAAATATGCTTAAAGTAATGGCAGAAATGGAATAATTTTAAGATAAGGAGCATACATTAACGCGCACACAGGGCCCGTCAATCAAAGCAGAAGAAGCCCAGATTGTCGCATAAACAGTAATGGACATTCTAAGGTAGGCTTTATGGGTGCATTTAGCAGCTGAAAGGACAAAAGATTTTAAAAAAGCTCCCCCTACTAATGAACAAACAGCACTTATGATGGTTTTACCTTTTCTCGCAGTGCGTCTTCCAGAAGAGTGCCTTTATGTTTTCTCTTCAGCTGATTATTTGTTGTGCTGCTTCATTAAAACTTTGCACAGTTTAATACGATAAATGCCATGTTTTTGGAAACTTTAACTCGACGCACGGACACCACGGCACAACAATTACGCAGAGATACGGGAGAAAAAGTTGAGGCATTGTAGTAATACGAATAAGTCTTCTATGTTCTTTCAAGGAAGCGCTTTTCTGTGTCGTATTTTTGTGTCTGAAAAAGGAAGAAATTGGTCTTTTTGTTGGTGTTTGGACCAAGGCAATTGCAAGTCTTACTCGGCGTAAACAGTCCAGGGGATAGTCACATGTGGACGCCTGAACCCTTCGGAACCTTTATCAATACATAAATCCGTAAATTCATAGAAAAGCAGTAGGAGCTATAGATGGCAGCAACATGTCTTATATTATGTGATGTAATGATGTAGTTATGTGTGCAATGTCCACCTGTGTCATCGGCAAAAATCAGAACACACACACACACACACACACACACACACACACACACAAAGGAATATTTTACTGTTGAATCTCACTTGTTGATTTTTGTTTATAATCCGCTTAATTTTGTCTAGACATCTGTGAGTAATTTAAATGAGGGAATCGCCGTGTGAATAATGAACAATAAACAATCACAGGACAGCTAATTGGCTCCATAGTTTGTAATAAAATATTAAAAAACGACCGATGAATAAAAGTTCTGTGAATGATTGAACTTTTATACGGCTCAGTCATAATTCTAAGCTTATAACAAGAAATCTTTGAATGCCCTCTTCTGAGCTGTGGAGCCAATATTAGCCTCAGTATTCCTGTCTCTCCTTTTCTTTGCTGGTGTGTCTTCCTCTCTGTGTGTGTCTGTTTCCACGGTTCATCAGAGCGAAGGAGGAGCTGAGGAGAGCTCACAAACTCTCACACTGAGCTGACCTGCACATAAATGTGGTAACCAGCACACATAAAATACTTTTCAATTCTTTGGGGTTTTTTGATAAACACTGGTATGCATTTTCGCATTTTTAGAGCAGTGTGCGAGGTTGCTCTTTATATGTTCAGTCTTCTACAGATGCCAATGCTCCAGTAGATCTGTACACAGCACATTGTTGTTTTCTGATATATTATTACTATATTTATGTTTAAAAAAAAATAAAAATCTAGGGGCGCCGCTATAGCTCACCGGGTTGAGCTGGCGTCCTGTGTACAGGGCTACAGTCCTGATGTGGAGGTCATGAGTTCGAATCCCGCTCATGGCCCTTTCCCACACGTCCTCCCCCCTTTCTTCTCCCCCACTTTCCTGTCTCTCTCTCACTGCACTGTCAAATAAAGGCACAACAGCCAAAAAAATAACTTAAAAAAAAAAATAAAAAAATCTATATCGCACCTTTTAATATGCAAATCATATCTTAAAATGCATGGCAAGAGGATTAATTTATGGGATTCTGCCGAAAACAAAATATAATAAGTTTGTTATGCATACCATTACATTTTAGTGTATATTATACAGCATCAATTTGTAGTTTAAATGTATGAAGTAATTTCAGCTTGAAATCCAAGTACTCCATGCTATAGAATGTTTTCTGCAACTTCTTCAGTCCTACTATACAGTGGAAAGAAAAGGTGGATATAATAACTAAATAATAAATAGAACCAGTATTTATTATTTAGTATTTATTTCAGAGCCTTCTATTGGATAGCACTACATTATACAGAGGTTTTTATTTTTCTTCTCACTGAGAGCAATACTTCATTAACTCTTCCTCACCACTCTCATCCAGCCTCCTCCCTCTCAAGATTTGTTTTTACACAAGACGATTCTATCAGTCTGCAGAATGCACATCTACTGAGGAGGGCAATGGGCCAAAACATCTGACTTTGCTCTTACACATATTGAATTAAGAACATATGATGAATGATTGCGGTGCAGTGGGCTGGATGTTTTTCTGAAATAAGACTCCTCCGCCTTCGCCTCTGCCGTGATGTTCCACCCAGATAAGCTGCAATTCCAAATTTTTATTTAGAGATCGTGGGTCTTTCTTATATATCTTTTTATTTCTTCATTTATACAAATTTAAGCGTGATCTTGATAATGATTTTAGCGGCTTTGTTAAAATTGTCCAATTTTCTGTGACACGGACTCATTTCAGTCAATTTCCATGCGCTGAATGTTTTGGTGTTTTATAAAGTTCTGATGCAATGATAAGATAGAAAGTTTTTTTTTTTTTTTTAAACTGACTTCATTTCATAAATATCATTAGTTCTGCAGAGCGTCAATACAGTGATGAAAAGACAGAACCGTGCAACTGACATGATTAGAAAAAACTTTGTAATTGTTTTTTCTAACCACTACAGTCTGTGTTGATGCTTTAGAACAGGGGTATAGAACTCTGGTCCTCGAGGGCCGCAATCCTGCATGTTTTAGATGTTTCCCTCTTCCAACACACCTGATTCAAATGATCAGCTCATCATCAAGCTCTGCAGAAGCCTGATAACGATCCTGATCATTTGAATCAGGTGTGTTGGAAGAGGGAAACATCTAAAACATGCAGGATTGTGGCCCTCGAGGACCAGGATTGGACACCCCTGCTTTAGAAGTTCAGGTCCTATAGAAACATCCATTGTTTTTTCTCTTTGACACAATGTAGAGAGACCCGGAATCTTTCTGTGTGGAGTTTGCATGTTCTCCCTGTGCAGCGTGGGTTCTCTCCAGGTTCTCTGGCTTCCTCCCACACAGTCCAAAAACATGTTGAGGTTAATTGGTGATTCTAAATTGTCCGTAGGTGTGAATGTGAGTGTGCTTGGTTGTCTGTCTCAAAGTGTAGCCCTGTGATAGACTGGTGACCTGTCCAGGGTGTCCCCTGCCTTCGCCCTGAGTCAGCTGCAGGCTCCAGCCCCTGTGACCCTAGTGAGGATTAAGCGATGTAATAATGGCAAGATAATGGATGGATGGATTTTGGTTGCCACAGTTTGATTATATAAAGTCAATGAATGAATGAATGAATGAAAATGCATAAGACAGTCAGAACGTCTAAGGGCAACCACATGTTATTCATTTCTGTCGTCCTGCACATTGGTGAAAATAGTGTGTTTTTTTTAGCGTTTACATCTGGGCTGGTTGATCACTGTAAACAAGGCTTCCAATTCGAAGTCTTCATCCCCTCATGGCCTTTTTTTTTTTTTTCTTCCTTGCTGCCGTTGGCTTAATAACCTCATAGAGTTCACTGTAGTCTGTAGAGGTCAACTCACCCGTATTACACAAACTCAGTAGAAAAGTTGGTGTTGCAAAGTGCTGTGCTGGGTCAAAAAAAACAAATGAAACAACAATTCCCAAAGAAAAACTCACCATCTTCCTTTGCCACAACCCTACGCTGTACGTGGTGCTGCAGCTGTAGCAAGTAATAAGATCAGTTCCACAGCACATCTGCTTTGTAAATGGTCTGCTTATGTTACACATTCAGTGAAACCATAGTCTTAGGTTCAGGTTCCCGGACATGGATTAAGCCTAGTCTGAGACTAAAAGCTTTTATTCCCATCAAAAGTTAATTTCAGTATATGACTAGGCTTGATTAACGTTTTGGGAACGGCCTGCTAGTGTTGTTAGTTTGGACTACGCAGGAGGACGGTGAATGTGTAACTACAGAGGCTTTTTACACCTAACAGGATGGTGTTGACTGTCAAAGACTGTCACCTGACCTCATTCAGACAGAGTGTGTGTTGTTAAAGTTCAGATGAAAACAAAAATTGCTCAGAGCAAGCTGGAAGGGAAGTTGGGTGCAGTACAGGTCTGGCAGAGCAGCAGCAGGGTGATGTGATGTGTGTGGGCTGCAGACTTGAGCCAGGTATTGATTGCAGAAGATTTGCAACTAACCATTATGTGTGATGAACAAAGGACTGCGATACCTTCACTGTTCGTCTGATGTAGGTCGTCAAATTAACGCTTTGAGTCAGCACTTTAAAAATCACTGCCATTCTTTCAGTTTTTAAACTAAACATGTTTTTGAACCGAGTTTGATTTAATAATCTGGTGCTGGAGTGGCGAGCCCTCAACGACAGCAAATGTGCCACAGAGATAAGATTTTATGACTGTACATATCATGTTCCCTGTTTTTGTAGCTAAACCAACTTCATACTAACTCTGCTTCTCTTTTCCTTCACAGTAAACTTTGACCACTTCCAGATATTACGAGCCATTGGGAAGGGCAGCTTTGGGAAGGTAATGGAGCCTTTTTCTATACAGTGTGTGTTGTGTCCCGTCAGTTACCCACCACAGTCATTATCTCTAAAGAATCAGGGAAGGCCAGGAGAGATTACACTCCGGTTCTCATCATATTCGGGTGCTTAGAAGATAAGTAATTTTTCTATTTGAATAACAGTTATAAATACAGCTTATGTAATTCTTTCTGTAAAGTCACTTAGAGACGAGCCAATTTACTTTTCATCTCATGCCAGCCAACCTGTTGGGAGTTTTGACCCCACGTCTCCATTTAATTACAGAGCAGCACAATGCTGTGGCTGCATTTGTCATCATGCTCACTGGTTGGGTTGAATACAGCAGGGAGGAAAACTTGGCATGTCTGTGTGTGTGTGTGTTGCACACTGTGAAACCAAATTACCGCAGTTCTTTTCAACCTTGTCTCAGGTGCCAATATCATCACTGGTGGCCATTGTTGATAAAACAGACATTTTGGATTAACTTGTGGACCATTTGTTAGTCGAAGAATTCCTTTGTGTTCGCATTGAATGCCTTTATGAGACTTCAGTAATGAATTCAGGGAGCAACGTGTGTGTGTGTGTGTGTGTGTGTGTGTGTATGTTGACACACAATTGGGCTCCAGAGATTGGAATAGTTTATCTTCATTTTGAATTCCAAATATCACGTCTAATATTTGTTCATTATACTTGTGTCTGTGGACGCCTTTTGCAAATTCTTTCTGCTTTGCTCTTCTCAAAACACAATCTTTTTTTTCTAAAAACATGTCCCTCTGTTATATGGAAAGTCGTTGCCCAATGCTGAATACATTACCATGTGAATTTATGTTAATTTTTACTTATTGCTTTGTTCCCTCAAGCTGCTGTCACTTCCCTTATGATACTGAAGGGAATCTGCAGTAAGCCCGGAAGCAGGGCAACCCACATTTTGTGAATAATGATTTACACTCACTCCAGTTTTCTGGGGATAAATATCACATGTAAATAAAAGCTCATTCATATTTTTTGGGTTTTTATATGCAAACATAGAGTTTGAAATCAGCTCTGTTCCGGCTATGATGCATGCCCTGCAACAAGACATGAATGGTGATTCTTCTCATGACTAAAGCATCAGACAAAACAAGCCTGCTGCTTCATCCAGGAGGCTGGGGAGATAGGCACGGTCCTTGTCTGGCTCCCAGTTGTGCAATATGTTTGCACAGTCATGTTCACGCCCACTTCTCTGGAGCCACGTGCCTGCTCACACGAACCACGCTCAGGCAGTCAGACAGATGCTCACAGAGACGTCCAGATAAAGTTCGTCCTTGTCGGAGGTCAACTTGTCTGCGTTTTTTTTTTTTTTTTTTACCCCACTGTGGCCTCATTCTGTGTTCCTGCTGTTTCTGAACAGCACAAGTCTTTAACTTCCCATAAAATACGCTCAGGCTGGGGGTAAATGTCGTTGAAAATAAATACGACGCTTGAACCACGACTTCAGCGTTCATTACAAACCAAATGTGGAAAGTCATTATATCTTTAGACGAGTGTCACATCCATCAGTTGCTGCTTTCTGCCCCATAAAGTTCAGCTTCAACTTCGGTAATATTATTCATCAAGTGAAATACTGTTATCACGATTTATAGAAGTCTAAATGGTGTGTTGAGCATTTCAATATACAAAATGACTACATAAAAGATGGTGTGTGTGCATGTGTGGTTGGAAGCAATGGAAAGAGAGGAGGACCGAGTGAGGCGCAAACAAAGAGAGAGGTGTTTACTTCTCACTGTAGCCATGTGAAACACGATCTGTGTATTGCAGCTTGTGTAGGTGCTCCGAGGAAAATGGGTTCGTTGGCTTGCAGTACTGTAGATGTGTGTGTGTGTGCAAAGTGTGAGAATGTATGTTGCGGGGCTCCTTCATGCACAGCAGGGAGTCGTGAGGAAGGTTGGAGCGAAGAGAGACGAGCTGCCAGAGGGGAAGCAGAGGAAACCTCCTCCTCCAAAATGCCATCTGCAAACATGTCGAACATGCTTTTACTCTGCTCTTCGCCTCAGCGTTTCACATTCTTTGTCTGTAGACATGCAGTGATGTGGTGTGTATCAGTCTTCTCAGTCCCACGTTTCATTACAAGAGCTTCTCTCTCTGTGCTTTCTGCCCCTGTCTTAACCCTCTGAACCCCAAGCAGCTCCTGGGCGTTAGTTGCTCCTGTCACATTTTTACTTTACTGTGGATTTATTTGTCACTGCAATATAAAGTCTGGCACCTCCATGGAAACAGCACAACCACGGCTAGAAGTTGGGAGAGTTCAAAAATGTCTTCTGTGCAGTGTAACAAGGTTATAATTCTATAAATCAGAAAAACAGAGTAAAATGAAAGCTTGATGTTTTCGCTCTAAGTCAACTGGGATAGGCTCCCTGCGACCCTCTACAGGATAAAATAGTATATAGAAAATATATTCTTCCGAAACTACAAAACCTGAAATCAACTTTTTTTTTTTTTTTTTACAACCTCTACAAATCTTTTCACACCACTCTGCACTCCAGAACGATATTTCATCATGCTGAATATATCTTCCAACGACCTGCTGACAAAAATTCAATTATTCTTCCTGTTTTTACAGTTTGTTGTTGTGATAAATGGTGTTATTTTGGTGATATTTTTTTCTCAAAGACATGCCATTCAAGATACCAGTAGGTTTTGAGGTTCGGAAAACTTTCACAGTTTCACAAATGCTGCACTGCTCACAGTACAAAACATTTTCTGTTCCACACTGTTATGAAAGCTTTGCAACACAAGACGTCGTATCACAGCGTGTGACTGTCCCCGGCTGACAGTTGATAGTTGTGTGTGGTGACATGGTGAAACGTCACGCTGTCAGTTTGGGAATAAAAAAAGGTGGTCCGAGATCACATTCTGAGACGCGTCCCCTGGCACCGAATTAAGAGTATTGGCAGCCAAAAGACCCTGCGTCAAAATCCTCGCAACAATGTAAGTGCGGCTACGCCTGCTGCATGTCAATGCAGACTGATGCCACCGCTGCTGGCACGCTGACACTGTAGGTTAAAGTTGTACAGACAACACCTGAAATGTCTGATTTAATTTATGTCTCAGTATCTGAATACATAACTCAGTCCAAGTCATGTCGATATCTCAGCTCAGGTCGAAAACTGATTTAGAGATGATGTAGGGGTAGCAGCAATATGGATGATAAACAGCTCTGTAATAAATACAACAGCTAAGCAGGTGACTGTGTGTGGTTTAAATACAATCCAAAATAGGACTGCACAACGTATACATTCAGTGTTGGCATTGTGCTGTATGCAGGAAAGAAGTGCCACAATATAATCAATATGTTTGACTATGATATTGTCAGTTAAAATGCTGGCCTGACAGAAATCTGACATTTTAACACCTTATTTTACTGTTTTAAAAGTATTTTTTTGACCACACACCTGTGCACATTTCCACACTGCTGTAACTGAGTGGAGACTGGAAGCTTCTGTTGCCCACTTAACATTCACTGTAACCTGCATGTGAGGCGTTTAGGGAACAAATGTGAACAAACAAGCTAATAACAAATAAGCTAACATGCAGCGAGTTTAATGCATTTTTATATTTTTCCCTCTATGAGATGCTCAGAATTCAGGTGAAGAAGAACTTTTATTGTTGCATCCGTCTTATCCTGATGCAGTGATTTAGGAGAAAAAGGAGCGCAACATGAAAGTAAAAGCAGCGCTCTGTTAATTTAAATGTGAAAATGCAACAAAAATAGTTTGTCTCTCAAATACAATATAAATAAATGTTAATAGTAATAAGTATTTCGGCTACTGAAAGGATGATGTTGACCAAAAACAGGAACTCTGTTGCCAGTGTTTTGTTGCCACGACATGATCCAACACAGGTGTTTTGTGTGACCATTTAAATCAGTTGCACAAAGCTCTGTCGGTGCAAAACTATATTTAAATGACATCCAAAGGAAAAAATATATATTTTGGATGCCCTTGACAGTGTTACACCATATTGGAAAGGTTCCAAGTTTCGTGCTCAAAAAAGGGTACAGTAGAAAATCATTTTTCAGCTTTTCAAAAACTGTATCTACAGAATCCCTCCAGTCATTCTGGAAAGATTTTCTTTTCAAGTAGTTATTCAGTATATCTGGTGAAAATGAATGTACTTTCTTTTACATTTCAATCACAAAAAATAATGCAGTATTGCTGTTTTTTTCCAATATCGTGCAGCCCAAATCACACCGAGGACTAACAGGTTAGTGCTTTTAAAGGCCTACCAGATGCCCAAACACTGCTCAGATGTTGAAATACTCACAGACGTAGAGGCTTAGAACTCTGAAAAATGTTTTTTCCTTCATCACACTGATCACCAAGTACAAGTTGAAACTTGCTGTTCACATTACAAATTAAATATCTTCCAAATCAATGTTGTCTCCAAGTCACACCAACTATTCGACCATCTTGGTTTTGGCTTGTAGACTCTCTGGGATGGTTTATGATTGTCGTGACAGGCGCCCAGATTTCATTCCAACTCTAGGATTAATGTTACAGCCAAATCATAATGAAAGTTGTGTAACCTGGACTAAGCTTTACTCATATCTCACTCTCCTCTGCCAAGAATCTCGCTGTTTTCCCACTTATCTCGGAGCAAAACATTACCCACCTCCCTGCTTTCAACATATAAGCGCAGGTACCGCGGTCGTTCCCTTCCCTCTCATTTTGATACCGAAGATCGAGTTTTTCTCTCCATTCCCCTCGGCTCTGCTCACAATTCAATTCAAGTGTGTTTTAAGGGCTTGCCAGTGAAGAAAACTGTGTTGGCAAAGCAATATAGTACTATTAAAAATAAAATATGGCATTAATATTGTTTGAATTCCCACTCTAAACTCACCCTCTCTTTATTTCTCCCTGTGATGTTTCGGAGCATCTGTCCTCCAGCAGATGGGGTGAAGAGTGATGGTGGCGAGGTGTGATTATTTCCACAGCGGTGGAGGATATAGCTCATTTGTAACATGAC